AATTCGATTATCTAAAAACAACAGATAACATGAAACCTATAACCTATAACTATGATCTTCTCTATGAACTAATAATAATGCTGTACTTCATTAAATTATTTGGCAACGTCTTCCGGTTAAAGTTGAATATCGTTTTACATTTTTTAAATGTCCTAGCAAAAATCAACTTTCAATACTAGTTGAACAGTCGTCAAAAGTAATGGAATACTTGACAGTGCTCAACCATATTAAGTGGTTGAAAGTAATGTGCAGAAAACACTGCGCTTAAGTTTGCAGATTGTTGGAACTCGTCAAAATGATTTATCTGGAACATGTACGGAACTGATGAGTTTCAATGTTGCTTCACGAAGCGTCACAACCATTGGGGTTACCAAACTAGCCGGTTAGCATAATTATGTTTTAGTGGTTAACAAGTTCTTTCGATGATTCTGTCCATAGAGAAACCCCGAGAGGGCTTGAATCCAGGACCTTGAAATCCGATAATGAGTGCTTAATCACTAGACCATTGATCCAACATCAGCTAGTTTACTTGTCCAACGTCAGTCGATCCACGATATTACGCAACTACCATCTAATGTGTGGGTGGATAACTGCCAAGCACCCGATATGATCTTTGTACAGATCACTCATGATTTGTGGTCCGGTAATCAGGTTATTAGGTTTCCCAACTTTTGGTGTTCAAAGAGAGCCTTTCGTCAATTTCCTACTAAAAAAACATCACATAGAGAACAACCAAATCAGGATACATGACAAATAGAAAATTTCATTGATCATACGTAGTCCAAGTATATTTTCTTATAATTAAATTACCAAGATTTAGTAACTGTTACTTCTTGTCATCGAATACATCGGATATGCAGTACGGAAAGCATTGAGGAAGAACTCGCATTCCTCACGAAAACCTCAACGAAAAATGACTACCCAGACCATTCCATAGAAAAGAATATGATTAAAAGTAGTTGCGACAGGAGATCTAGTTGTTCCGTCCCAAAAAAACCCTATATAAGTCTAGAATTTAAAGGGGATCGAACATCTGACGTAATTAAAAATCGCCTAACAACAGCGATTAAAAGAACATTTAATGAGGCAAAACTGCGAATAACCTTCACTAGTAAAAACCTATTTTCTGTATCCATAAAAGATAAGCTTCCGCATCTGGTCGCCTCTATGTGCATCTACCAATTCACCTGTTTTTAAGGGGCAAGGTACATTGGCCGTAGCCAGCGCTAGCTTTCAACTCGGATACGGGAAAATGTCTCATTTTGGTTGTACAAGGATGAAAGGAAATCAGTTAGGAGTTCTATACTTGAACACTCAGTCGACTGTAATCATTCTACGGATCCACAGTTTGATTTTAAGTTTGTTTATATGATTCGTTCAAATCTACCTAGATTTCTTCGTATCCAACTCCTAAAAACAGCCGAAGCTCTTAACAACCATGAGCTCAAACCAGAACTATGCGTACAAAAGAAGTACGTCTTATCGATATCGTTAACTTGACCTTAATTAATATTATTATTTTATTATTATCATTAGTATTATTAGCAGTACCGCATGCCACTTTACTTATGTCTTATATTCCCATTATTTTATTCACAAATACTCACCATGTCACCTTATTTACTTTTACACCTCTATGACCTTTAATGACCATTAACTATTGTAACAAAAAAAACATTACATTCACTAAATCCAATGTTATTATTCGTATTACTTAATCTAGTAATATGACCTTTCTATTACATTATCTTGGTTATTTGTGTTCACATTTCCACACGGAATTAGTACTTTAACAAAAAAATTATCATATATGTATATATACGATTGTACAACTTGATAATAAATTCGTTGAAAAGAGATCCCTTCGCTGAACTTTTTGTTTTTAATGTTTAAATGGTAATTATCTGTCACTTCTTCAAAACCCATATTTAAATTCTTTTTCACAAACAGTTCTTAGGATAACAGTTATCCCAAATGACAATTGAAATTTACTTTCATTTCTTATTGATCAAAAGAGTAATAAAAACTAAATAGAATTTCATGGGAATAAAATTTTTTCAGTCAACAGATGGTTTCACAGATGCTTTACACTCTTTTTCCTCAAAAAATTCTCACTTAAATCAAGTTTTTATGAGTGTAATTGGGGAAAAATAGACGAAGGAGTTCGGTTATCAGATAACAACACATAAACATTAAATGGTCATTGATCGTTGTTTTTTTCACATAAAATTTACTTATGCATACCTAGTCATCAATCGATCAACAATATTTTATTACAATTGACTGATATAATGAATAGAGTTTGTTCTTCTAGATATTAAAATAAGAATATTTAAAAGAAATAACTAGTCTGTAGACAGTTTAAATCTATATAATTATTTGTCACTCAGCAGTATTCAGTATCTTCACTATTGACGGAATTTAATCGATCTAGTTGGAACTGGCCGCTAAGTTAAATGACTTAATATTACAATGAACGTCTTTGTGCGGTGGGTAGTGGGAAGTATTCAAGACAGGAAGTCGTTGACGTTGGTTTTTTGCTGATTACTTCGTATTAAAAAGACATCTCACTCTTTAGGCAAATAAAATGATACTCGGAAATACTCCAGTTGTTATATCCTAGTGAAGATTCAATTACGGGTAACTTTCGAGAACTATTAATGGACTAATATATATATATACCGGCTCATACCGGTCGAACGTCATTGGTTTGGCACAGTGCGAAGATTGCATAAGCCGTATTCCGACTGGCGAATAAGTCATGCGAGAACAAACTGGGCTTTTACATACAACACCAGTGAATTTTGGTTAGAAAAATGACCACTGATAATTTGTACTACTACAGGATAAAAGTGGTTTGGATCCCGTGTTGACTTATAGTTCTCTTAAATTTACCCCTTTCCGATGAGGGTTAAACTGGGTACTGAAATTCTAACAGACAATATTAAATAGCGTAATACAGCTTAGTTCAAAAGTAGATATCACTGGAAGGAAAATGGAAGTTCAAGAAGACCTGAAAAGTTATTTTATCATGGTTTGGAATGATTTCAACGGAGATTATGTGTGAACTGTTTTAAAGAATGCATACAAAAAATGAAATTACCCATTAGGCCAAAATCTTAACAACGATCCGTAATTCCAGAACCTTGAGCTCGCGTTCATGTGGATTCTTCTTTGTCACCCCATGAATGACTGATTTCAGCTTGTCAACAGAAAAATTTCAAAATAATGACAGGTTCCTATAATGTACGGTATTTCCACAAACTCTACCCCACAAAAACATCCTAATCCTTTTATTTATTTTGTATCAACATATACTGTGGTTCTTGACACTGGAAATCAGCTTATTTACAGCTACCGAACTATGTTCTATGAAGAAAATAATAACGGACATATCAAATCTCTACAGACCAATCTTAGTTGAATGGTCGGGATTTTTGATATAGAGTAGAAGACGTTCAGAACGTACAGAATATTCGAAGAAATAATCCAAAGGTTTATCTTAAGTAGAATTGTTCACGATTTGAATGAAATCCAACAATCTCCATAACCCCATACTCACAATTATCATGTGATCACTAAGGTCCGGCTTCGAGAGGAAATGTCCGGTGTTCAAGTGAGAAGCCATGACCAGTATAGCCAATCCATGCATAGTACAAGACAGTTACCCACTGAAGACAATAGAAGACGGAAACCGAATGTCGTGGACTGATTAGACTTTGACATTAAAACCTTTGAATACCTGATCAGTTGGTTTAGAGGTTAAGCTTCCACGAGCAAGACGGAAGTTCCTGAGTTCGTATCCTGCCTACAGGGCCGTGAATGAATGTCTTATGGAGATTAAAAAACTGAACGGAATATAATCTTAAAGTCATGAAGTAAGAACGTTTGATTATAGAACTAGCATATATGTTAAATTAAGAACTGATATTTATCAGACTATACTAAGAGTCCTTCGCTAAGACGAAATGGCCGTCCTGTGCTTCCAAGTGTTCAATAGTGAGCTAACTTAGATCGGTTCTTGATTTCAATGAAATTTAACAATCTCCACAACCCCAGACTGACAATTAAGTAAACAAATCATCACCTGTGTAAAGTATACTTAAGTAAAACTGTCATATCACCAAAGGTATTAAATGCACATATATGTGAAATGCAATAGTCTATTAAATACTAAGCAATGGTTGTTTATAAAACTATGGAATTTATCATCAGTTCATCATCAGAATGGTAGTTATACTGAACAGTATCCTGTTGAAAACGCTCATTAATATGGGTAGGCGTTTTTGTGGATATTATAGTAATTTTGATAGTTGAGATCATGAGTCAATTGAAGGTAGACCACCATGGGAAACACGGAAGTATTGGACGACTGTTTTGTCCCATTGTGGGACTTGTCAGCAGTGCGCATCCCCGATCCCGCCTTCCGAGATTCGAACCCAGGAACTATCGTTCGTGCGCGAACGCTTAACCTCTATACCACTGAGCCGGCATCCAACGGTGTTAAATTCGTGGATTAGTTTATGTTAGACATTAACACCGTTGGATGGCGGCCAGCTCAGTGATGTAGAGGTCAAGCGTTCGTGCACGAACGATAGTTCCTGGGTTCGAATCTCGGGAGGCGGGATCGAGGATGTGCACTGCTGAGAAGTCCCACAATGGGACAAAACAGTCGTCCAATACTTCCGTGTTTTCCATGGTGGTCTACCTTCAATTGACTCATGATCTCAACTATTAAAAAACGGCTATTTTAACTCGTTTTATAATAAGTTACCTTAAGACGAATAAAAACTGGGAAGATAAGATTAAATACTGTATGTCTCTTGTTTTTTCATTAATAAATATTATTTATAACGTGCCCTGTATTTCGTTTGGCAGCATATTGACCAATTGAAGCAACCAGGTAATAACATAACAATTTCCCTCTTTTTTTGATTGGTTATCAACAGCGTTACTTATTACCAATAAATAAAGATGATATAGACATTTTGATTATCGAACAGTGATGTGGTTAACTTGTGGAAAAATAAAGATAATGAAATGGATTATTTTTATTCTACTTATGATAATAAATTTAGATATTCTTTTAAAAATAACTTACAGTCGACAACTGGTACGTGAAATCCTAGTCGAGTTATTTTTTTTATCACAAATTATTGTAGAATAAAAATTCAAATATACAACTCCGGGATTTCACGGAAACAACAGCAACACAGACTTTGGTAAGTTCACCCAGTGAATTTTGTATTAAATCCAATCTGATTAAAAAATATTAAATAGTTTCATGAAGATTTTTGAATTTCTTTTATTTACATCTAAAACTACTCGTAACTAAAAAAGCAATGAAAACCAAGAACAATTTTCATCATATGATTGTAAAGATTATTGAGTTTTAATTGAAATCGTGAACCGATCAATTTTAGACCATCACTGAATACCTGGAGGCACTGGAAGGCCATTTCGTTCTAGTATGGGACTCCTCAGTAGTGCGCATCCACGATTCCATACGCGGGAATCGAACCCAGGGCCTTATGTCCTATGCATAACCGCTTGACCTCTGGACCAACGTTGCTAGTGTCTAAAATCAACCAATCCACAGGATTGCGCTACCAACTTCCATTATCTTCAGTAGATAACTGTCTCATGCCCGATACGGTCGAAATCCACCAGTCACTCCGATAATTTCTTGTCGAAGCTAGTCACTGGTGAGCAAATGATAACTATCAGTTGCATATTAGGACGAAACCGCCGTCCATTGCTTCTAGTTTTTCAATAGTAGTCTAACATTGATCAGTTCGCGATCTCGAAAAGAATATATTGGATGTTTTTTATTCAAGCACGAGAATTCTTAACACAATGTATCCGCAACTCTATCGAACCCAGATGCTTTAAGTCTCACAGCATTTGTTTTCCGTACAAAATACTAAACATCTGTTGTATGATCAGTCATTCTAATTAGTTTATCGACTAAAAAAGGATAAAGTTTTTCATTTCGAATATAATCGCAATAAACTTTACGATAGTGGATCATTGTATGTGTCTGTTACGAAATCCTTATTTTAGTTAGTTAGCTCATAATAATCTTCGTCAAAATTTTACAAACTGTTATTGTATGGTTTTGAACCAGAGTCACAGTATTGAACATCATTCATTTTATTCAGTCATGTAAGAATAACGAGAATTAATAAGCTTTTAGAAGTTGAAAGTGTTACGTTGATGACTACAAACAGTCAACTCGATTTCTTTTGACGTTAGTTTGAAAAAACTCGTATTTAGAGTTACTTATATTCCCAAGTCAAGATAACGTAAAATGGTTAGATCCACTTGTGAAATCTTTCAGTTTGGAAGACAACCTAACGTTCTGCAAAAAATACATGAATAAATCAGATGTTTTAATCAGACCAATACGCTTAGGTAAATATAACATTTTTTATTTAATTTAAAATCCGGTTCATTGGAGTTTTACAGTGGATAAAATCGACTAAAATGGTCAACTTTATTACATTTACTAGAATTACTAGTCTTTTTGAGTAGTTTGGGAAATTTCTTGATGAACACTTTACATGATATTCTTATATTTATAGGAATATAAAAACAAATTACGAAATATGCTAAACGTCATTACTTTTCAAATAGAATATTTAATTTTGCGTCTTTGTGTCATCACCTTACTCATCTATAGGTTACCTATAGAAATGAAAGAGTGTTTTATAGAGATTTATTTCATATTTTGCTTCTTTGATCCCTTTTCAGTTGTCCTCCATAGTAGGTTTCTCTTCGTCGAGTAGATCTGACAAGGTTTGGAACCTGTTGTTGAAAGTTATCTTGAATTGGTTGAGTTTGTCAATCTGTCGCGGGAAGGCTGTGTTGAACCTCTGCAATGCTGCTTGTCCAGTTGTCCAATTCATCTTTAGATATAATTTCAACTTTGCCACAATCCGATGGTGATCTGAAGCTATGTCAGTTCCTCTCCTCGTTCTCACGTCTTCCATTGTCTTTCTGAAATTTTTATTGATACAAATATGATCTATCTGGTTCTCTGTGATGTGGTCCGGTGAAACCCATGTAGCTTTGTGTATGTGTTTATGTGGAAATATTGAGCCACCTATAACCGATTTGTTGAATGCACATACATTTGCAAATCTCTTCCCATTTTCGTTTCTTTCTCCCATCCAGTCCATGTTGACCCATGATATCTTCATATCCAGTGTTGTCCATCCCAACTTTGGCGTTTAGATTTCCCATCAGGATTTTCAGGTCGTTTCCTGAGTACTTTGCTATGATGGATTGCAGCCTCTCGTAGATCTTTGTTACTATCATTGATGGGTGCATAACATTGGATAACATTCATCGTGATTCCTTCCTTCTTTGTTTTGAAGAATGCTTTGATGGCCGAGGATCATGAGATTCCCATCCTATAGGTACTATACATTCTTCCCTGAACAACACAAGTTCAACCTCCTGCGCATAAGTAGCATTTTTATCCTCTTAGCCGGCCTACAGCAGTATCTTTCCTGAATCTATCCTTTTCTGTCAAGCTCATGTCCAATGTACTTCACTTATTCCGACAACCGACAATTCGCAACTCCTCATTTCCGTAGCTATTTGACTGGTCTTCCCAATCTCCCACATTGTGCGAACATTCCGTGTATCTATATTATTGTTGCTCTGATCGTGGTTTTCAAAGAATCTTGTTTTTCATAACGAGGAGTCATAATTCGTCTAAATGAATGTCCTTTAACACCCAGGGCAGAGTTTGGATGGCTTAAATGCTTTTATGGTCAGAGCTTTTTTTTACCTAGGTTGTTTTCTACGGGATGGAGTCGCCGACCCCCCATACAACCCTCCTTCACCACAACTTGGGACCGGCAGTAACTCTACGTAAATGGATTTTAGTTGGCCATATATGTATTTGGAAGACAAATCTAGCCTATTCTTACAACTCAGTTTATAGCTTTTCGTTATTTAAAAACCTTTCGATCTACTTCAGCCCTCTATATTCTCAAAGACAAAATAACTTTATGCAAGGTCATTAGATTTAGTACTGCTTTAGTAGTTGTGCATTACTTTTCAATGGTTTAGTTTTAATTTTAAGTAGATGCTGAATCTACTGTTCAGAAAATCAATCAAAATGTCCCATCAAGCCAGAGAGCTCAATAAAATCAAAACTTTTATAAAAATACATATTCATGTAAATTTTATCAAATACAAATATGCCTTTAATAGTAAGTAACTCGTTCGCTAATACAGGTTGACCCTAATTGATCTGTTGCTTACCACCAACTCGATTTATATATACGTACCCCAATGAGGATACAACAAATAATAAATTTACTTGGTATTGTTAGTTTGAATCTTCCCATTGATGTTTAGGACTACAATTGATCAGTCTCTTACTGACATGTGTGCATACTGTGTGTATTGCCTCGATATTGCCTTAATTTACAAGCATTATATGCAAAAATGGATAGTGGTTAGTAGTGCAATTCAGGACTTGCGTCTTGTCTCATTTGGGACTCGTCAGCTGGATATGCCTGCATCTGAGTTGATGTCCACTCTGGGACTCAAACTCAGTGCCGTTCGCTTCAGACGCCATCGCGTTATCCGCTTAGCTACTGAGTCCTGATACATTTATTAATAACTCTTTACCCAATGGTCAATTTATTTGAAACTATCAAGTCCAACCATGATATTGATATCTATAAATACATATGATTTGTTTATAAAAAATTTTTTAGTATTGAAATATTCTATCCAAAATACTTTTTTAAAAAGAAACAACGATTTAACTTGAATTTAAAGATAAGACTTAGCTTTTTTACATAATTTGAGATGGTAACAATTTATGGTTTGTAGTGGCTTAGCTCCATTTATCGATCAACTTGTCAACCATTATTAGATAGGCCCCCAAAGTGTTTGAATTCAGAAGGCAATGAGAAGAGGCGACTACAGTTTGTTATTGGATAGCACAGATAACAATGCTACAAGCACATCGAGCGAATTTGGAACGGAGTGGCTAGCGTGTGTGCGAGAGTATACAGAGGCGAAAGTATAATCAAATCAGCAAGTCAAGGCAAAGGCTTTTAAAAGGATTCGAGCATATATATATACATGGTGAAGAGAATGACTCTTCAAACGATATTTCAGCGACCAACATTCAAGCTAGAGAGAGAGATATACTCGTAGGCTGTCATATAAGATCAAGCGTACATGTTTATGCAGACAAGATAGTGATTATAATAATACAACGAAATAGACGAATTGTTACTGTCCGAATAACATTGTCTGTTAAATAAGTTAGTAAAGGGGTTTTACAAAATTTAACCATGATTGAAACTAATCCTATGAGTGTTGCTTTAATAACTCCCCCCTTACAATTAAAGATATATGAAAAAAGGTCTGTGTTTGCACAAAGTATAGTAAACTGAACAGAATTATTACGATTAATAGGAGATATCGGCTTATACAAAATTAAGATAAAGCTAATATGTATACAAACATTAGTTATGTATATCTGAGCGCATGTCTGTAAAGCCAAACAAAATAATGATAAAGGGTAGAAATGGATGTGGTATCATTTTTAAAAGATTATATACAGGTGTGAAGATATCCAAAATATGTCGAGTTTTGTAATATACGATATAAGCTTGATAATGCATGCGTACACAAGGAAGAAAAAGAAAAAGAATTTATATTCAAAATAGTGAAAAATTAAAATTCTGGCTATATGGAGTTGTGGCTATTCGACTCTTCGGCCATAATTCGTCGTTATTGGAGTCTTCTCTTTTTCTCATTAATAATAATAAATTTGCGTCGTTAGTGTTTGAAACTCGTGTTTCGGTGATGCGACTGTCTTTGAAAGATTTGCGCTTTTTGCTTGATGATCAATTTCGATTAAATCTTGTTAACCATAAGTAATGATCTGCTTACCGAAAACAAGTCTAGATGCAGAAATTATTTGATTTTGTGGCACACTAAGTAAATAAATCTACTTCTGCCGAGTTTGTAAAATTCACTGATAAATCAATTCAACACCAAAAAAAAATTAATTTTACTCAACTACAAACCTTATAGTAGTAAAACGTAATTTTACTGCGATTATTCGATTCTTTTAAGTAATGATGTCGGTGTTTTGCTAATCAAAGTGTATTTCCATACAATGACTACAATGCTTCAAATGTTCCTAAGTGGTTAACTGTTTAAATACTTTTCCGTCTATCCTGTTCTCTTGCTTCATGTCGGGATCAGTAACTGTCTCACCAATATACAAGATGTTATTAGTATTTTGACTCTATAGACAAGTGAATCTTATAATTATCAAAGGATAGTTCAGAATAACAGAAATGACTGTTACTACGAATGCGACTTTTGATAAAATAATACTGAAAGACATTATCAGATGTATTAGGTTATACTTGTTGAAATCGAGCGATTTGCTTTCAAACCCAGTTATTCGTTTGACGTATGTTATTTATATATTTGAACACATAAATATTAGTACAAATGGGCACCGAATGCAATTTGACGTATGTTGATATTTACAAACGTGATTTGTAGAAATTATATACACTAGAGCTACTTTTGATTAAAAGGTAACCTCAGTCGAATGGCCAGTAAATAATAGGTAGTAGTTACATTCCAGTTGATTTAGGATCTCTCAACAATTCAAAAAATCGCTTAAATATGTGATGCAACCCAGAAACTGTGTGTCATACACCCAAACATAGTAGCTTTAACGACCTGCGCCTGAACTAAATTTCAGTCGATATAAAATGTAGCTCTTCCATCCAACAAGTCAGACGAATTTACCCGTAACTTAAGGGTACTATATCATCAAATAGATGATAAAACACATTTGTTTTGTGGCACCACAATCATCAAATTTAATTCACTAGTGTAATACTGGTTACAGCTTGAACATCCATATACACAGAAACCATATACTGTTGGTTATCCATATCAGTTAGACTACATGAAAAGTTATGCTTCTACTCTTTAACATCAATATATTTATACTTGACAGATAAAACACTGTAAATGTATTACTTTATACCTTGTCTTTGAACTATTTGGTTTTTTTATGACTACAACCGTTTAAGCTAATTTCAGCCGGAAAATTTAAATAATAACCTTGCACAGGATAATCTGTATTACATTTTGTTGGGGACGATAGATCCCCAAAACTCAAATTTTGTAATTTACTTATCGATTAAATGTGCAGATAGGTCAATTGATGAACTATCGATTAAATGTTCAAATAGCAGTCAATTGTTGATTAATGTTCAAAAATCTTCCATGACAATATCGATTGTAAATATTTGTATAAATACGCTTGATTTGTGTGCTTGACTTGACTTGTTATCTGCTGTTTGTCTGTAGAATACACTTTCTACACCTTACCCAGACTTCTTGATCGAGTTAGCAGAGTTGGGGACAACGGACCAGAATAGTCTATCGAGATTCTGAATCCTTGATCCGATCGATAAGTCACTGTCATATAATCGGCTGTCTCCTTGAGACATAACACTTTTAACGAATGCAACTTTCAGCGAATCGTTCCGATTTTCTTCTACACATGAACGATGTATGTGGCTCTAAAAAAACGAGTCAAACATTTTTTATTTATGATTGGTAGTATACTTTGCGCCATCATATGGGTTTCATCTCATTATTCAGTGTTCAGTCGTACATACGATCAAATAATTAAAATAACTTACAAATAGCATGAATTTTATTTTACGATTATACTTTCAGCCACAAACGGTCATGGAGAATAGTGAATTCTGTACAAATCTTACAGAAGACAAAGATATAATCATGGATCTTTTCGAAGAGATTGAAATATCCGTACTATGCGACTACTTAAAAAGTAACTGTTCATGTTTTCCATTCCGTTCCCTATATATAAGAAATATTGACACTTTTTAAAATTTTTATGTCATGAATCATCCGAATCTGATCTTGGTTAAGAGTACTGACTGGGATCCAACCTATGTTTGATGCTTCATTATGATAGTTACTAACCAATTAACAAGAATTTAGTACAGAAAGCTTTTTCATTGTAGATACTTATGAGGAAAAACGAACTACATACCTAGAATACGAATATATGTAGAAACTTTCTGTTTTCTGAGAAAAACCGCTTGAGCTGCAGTAGCAAATTAAGTTTCTCACAACAGACTCACGGTGATTATGTACGTGACTACTATAAATTACTAGAATTGAAAGCTTGAAAATGAACTGTTCATCGTCATAGCTAAAGATCTATTAAGTCGATTTAAAATGTAAAAAACATTTTCGGTGTCTGAAGTTAGTTATTAAACAACCCTGAATGTTTAAAACAATCGGTTCCTTTGATAATGCAGTGTGAAGACGAAGGTTATCAGAATTATGTGACACATTTGCGCAATACATTTCGAACAATCTAATCACACATAACATCAATCGGTTCATGATCTCAATCACACATATACTTGTTAAGACATTTTCATGTGAAAAATAAAAGGTCAACTAAACAGGTTAAACGTAAACCGTAACAAAGAAAACTGAATACCATTAAACGCACGGCCATTTTTGTATTTTTTAATGCGATAACAATGTGATAACCACTCTAGATAATAAATCAGTATTACCAGGGTAGGTTAAGCTAAAAACAAATTGTTTTGAACATATAAAGGAGGTTTCAGTTTCCGTATATCCAACGCTTCAATAAAACTTAGTGTACGTCCTTGAAAACTTTTGTACAAAACTACGAAGGCTGACTTGATGTCAATCTTATGACCAGTCTCAACCAAATGTTTTTTAATGGAGGAAAATGTCTGTCTATCCTGTGATCTTATTTGACCATTGGAATTGATTTGTTTTTGCAGCCATTTGGGTATTTGTTCCGCTACCCTCAATTGAAGGTCACAATTGCTCCTCCTTATGTACGTATTTCCGCACATACATGCAAATCGATAGACAGAATCGCCTACGTGCTGTTTGGGTTTTTGGTGAAACATAGACGCTGTCTTTTCAATAATGACATGTGTGTGATCAGATTTTTCGAAATGTATTGCGCAAATATATCACATAGTTCTGATAAACTTCGTCTTCTCATAGCACCATCTTATAGGTTTGTACAAAATAGTGAACGTAAACTTGGTCCGATTTCGTACTCAATTTATTTTCACAAGTGAACTGTGTATATATATAACTATTTATAACTTGTAGCACATAATCAAGAAGTCAGTGAAATCTATCGTAATTATTAATAGGATTTATAATTAATGTGCTTTAATTTGCTCTTATTCCAGATGAAGTCAGTGCGAAAAAAATGATTTTATTAAATATCAGTGTCTCAGACAGCACACTATATGTTCGTGTTCGATTGCACATCGAAAAAGGTGATTGTACAAATCAAACTATTTTCACCAAGTGAGATTCTTTACGAATGTTTGAAAAATAAAACTTATGTGAAATCATGTTTACCAGAAATTTCATTCACTTTAACAAATGATTTTCAAATAGTTAGAAGTAATAAGCAGAAATTTCCTGAATACAATTTCCACATTGATCACTATTCAATAAAAAGCATACGTGTAGACTTATATGAATTTATAGTTCTTACGTGACTTTTGGAGTGGCATAAATCGTTATCACAGTCTCAGTCGTTAACAGTGAGCCATTTAAGGTGCGACTGACCTCTTGCAGCACAGATATATTTACAATTGACTAACCACTTAGTTGGTGACCAGTGTGTAATGCTTGTCTCGATTGGATTCTGTCGATCAATTTGTTTATTACGTCGATGATCATACTAGATGATTTATCAGTTATTATATCATTTCGAAACTTCAGATATCTTGATAGATCATGGCATATGCATGTGAACAAACTCTGCGTTCTTTAATTCATATCAACAACATATTCGGATACATGTTTTATTGATATTGAAATATGAGAAGGATACATTGAATACTTCATTTGCAAAACTCTATCATTTGTCCTTCAAATTCTTACAAGTTACAATTCTCTTCTACTTCAAGTCGACCTTCATAGCCTTCTGCTAACATGCATTTCTCTTTCGATTGGTGTTACATACTACTTATGTCTGTCAACATAATTAGCATACACCACAGTATGAGGTATCGATGATCCATTTTTTAAAAATATCCTTTAACCCTATAATCAACAAATTTTACAAAATCATTTTATGTTTATAGGCACTCAATTACTAGAATGAGTTTTTAAAAAATTGTTAACAAGAACATGTTTAGGTATACCAGTGAGAATTATATGTTTCAACCGTAGATACTTGAGATTTTAATATTAACAAATTAATAAATAATTCTATTAGAATGAACTACTAATTTACACTGAAAATGTCAATAGCTTTCGGAACAGATTGTTTTCATTTGGGGCATCACGTAGAACCTCTGAACATCGGACATTTCCGTCTTAGTATGAAATTCCTCAGCAGTAAGCACCCACGACCCCACCAGATATAGAACACGTCAACTGCAGATCTCGCGGCGAACGCTTAGCCATTTAAAATCACCAAGTCAGGTTCCGATAATACATGTTAAATTGTAGTTAGTTTTTATTACAATGCAATCTTTATTCAGTGATATTAGTGATAAGTGTTTCACTCACTAAATATCTGAGCTCCACTAATCACGACTTTTTACTATAATTTTAAGGATGTCTTGAAGTAGCATTACTTACAAATAAAATTGAACTCTACTAAACTACATCAAATAGAGTCCAGTAAGGTAGATGAATTTGAAAAGTTCTGACTACAAATATATATATATATATATATATTCTGTTTAAAAAATGTAAGATATTCGAAGCTTTTCATCTGAATTAAACACCTGTTCATCAATCCTTGTATCATATTAATTTCGAAAATACTTTTCATAATGGACTAATTTTAGCTGAAAAATCTGCACAAATTTTCAACTCTAATTAATCAGTGAACTAAATACGGTGTAATTTAAGTAATTTCATTTATTTTCATTACATTCAGATGGGTAAATTACAGTGTAGGTCTTGGAGTGAATAAACTACGTTATACAATTGATTCATTTATTTATAAACAGTTACATCTAAATGAAGTGTATGAGAAAGTTGAACAAACAAATTATACTGCAGTCAGTTCTATGAAATCTGTTAACTTTAATATTATACGCTCATTACCGAATATTTTAATTGATAAATACTTATTGAAAGTATGCATCATGGAACAGGTAAGCACTGTTGTTAATTTTCAAAAGAACGTTTATTGTTAATGTATTATTTACAAAAGATTGACTCTTATAAGAAGTGATAATTCTTATTGAGACATTGTATTCGTGGGTGGTATTCAACATAAAATCCTAGACCAAGATTTCGTGTTAATGGATACTCGTTAGTAAGGTAAACCTGCAGTCTTAGGGGACTGATTCGAAATCACCTCAACCAGTTTCATGGTTTTTATGAAATGGTTAGTTATTTGAAGATACTATACAACATCAACTGATTTTAGCTAAACAACCAATAAAAGTCAGAAAGCATTAGCAACTGAACCTGGAACTTCAGATCTCTCATCTTCAGACAAGTGATTTGATATCCATTCAAGCATATTTCGTCGGCGAACTATAGAGGGTTTTGAAAAAGTAAAAACAATAGTTATTTTTCGACGAAGTAGAAATTAGCTTGAAACAATCCTGTGCATTTCAAATTAATCATATTAAAAGAATCATGAAACATTGAAGTCAGTTATGATTTCCGTAATACAATAGAAACTCAAAGCTTGTAGCCAAATAAAGGTATTATAGGTATAGATGGATGGTGGTTAGCAGTGAAGTTCAGGGTGCGGTATATTTCAAGTTTAAATAAACCGTACTATTTTAAGTTGATTCGTCAAAATACTGACAGTGAATTTGTCATTAAGGAAGAAGAAATCAATTCATAAATGATCTTGTAGGTTACTTTCTTCCTAAAACTAAAATTCACATGATTTTTGGACTGATCTTATGATTAATATCTATCAAGTAACGCATTTTTAGAGCTAACAGAATACAAACTCTTTATTAAATCAAAATCTACTCACGTCATTATTATCGGTATTATTATTTCAGCCCACTAAACGTTGATGTGATAAATTTTAGCTCGTATTGTTTATGCTGGGTGACAACTTGAGAAAAGAGATTCACATTTATGCTACTTTACGTCAATTGTGAGTAATTCATACGTAAAGGTTCTCTTGAAGTTTATGATTTTTCTCCTCTGGTTTACTAGTTTGCAAATTAACTGTTCTCCAAAAATCCATCTCGCGAAAACTAAATGAAAAAGTCTATCACAAAAGATCTGTTATCAATCAAGTATATCACCACTATTTATCAATTCACTTTGCAGAAATACCTTCATAACATAGTTCTAATAAACAAATGGTGATTTCAAGGTTAAACAATGGATAGCAATGGGAACCAGGATGCGTGTTTTGTCCTACCTGGAACTAATCAGCTGAATAAATAGAAAAATTAGACCCTTACAAATAAAATTCACACCACTGCACAAGCTAGTGGCTACCTGGATTGTGTAGCTTGGTGGATACCGTGTTGACATTTGAATTGAAAAATACTATGTTCTAATCTGATACCTTTTTAAACTACTTCATGACTATTTAAGCAGCAATAGCATACTTTTATTCTAACCGAAACCTCAAATATTTTTCAAAAAACTAGGTGATATTTTCACCACGATGGATTATGTTAAACAAGTTCATTTAAAATTATTTGGTAGTTGTGACATTTCCCTCAGTGGACAGGAAGTATGTTCACGTCGATATGCGAATGTCCGAGGTCCTGTTTAACGTGATCTGACTTCTGAAAAATTCTCTTGAACATTTACTGAGATGATAGAGGTTGACTTCTGAAATTCGATTTAACAGGTCAACCCAAACGTATTCAAGATAAGATATAATGATTATAACCATGTCTTGTTAAGATATCAAATCGACTCAGGATCCAGTTCTTAAATCACTTCAATCCTGGGAATTTCTAATTTTCCAGCTAATTTCATTTTGACAATTGACTTATCTTTAGTCCAAAGAGTTTGCAATAATAACTACGTTTTTTTATGTGGAAAAATTGATTACCAAAGTATATTTATCACATTCTACCAGCGTTTTTTTCTCTTCGATTATATTCTGCATAGTATGTGTAATAAATCACAGCCAAAATGTCTAATCGTCATAAAAAAATAGAACACATGATCATAGAATTATAAATAATTACAAATTAATTGATTTAACAAATCAGTTAAATGTAATAAATAAAACGCACTCTTACTTTTATCGCTTCTTGTCTGTATTCAAAAAGAAACTTTGTACTTCTATAGGTTCACTAAACAACAGCATTTAAAGTAATATGATATTCTAATTTTAACATTATTCTTGTGTCGTTGAACAGGTCCTCTACCAATCTCACTACAATCGCATGAATACATACACACACAGGCTCACATTCTCACACTAACACATTCATGAAAGGATGTATTATTACAATACTGATTTGATCAGAATTTCCATTTGACGACTGTCAGTTTTATTTTATTTGTGAAAATGATTTGATAAACATTTGTTTAGCAAAATCGTTATAACAAAGAGTGCATTCATCCGAAGAACAATAGTTTTCTGTTTAACAGAACATCTTGAACTCATGAGCCACGACGATAATAACATCATTATTTTTATGACTGAATTAACGTACTCTTTATAGTTGCTGAATATCTATAATCGACTAATCAATGAGTCCTGATCACTCTCATGTTTTTTTCTCAGTCGTTTGTTTCTAGCCAAATCCTATCAATAAGTCATTAATGAGACCACTAGTCTATGTGACTCAACGCTGACACTGGTGACTACTCAGCAAATAATCAGTTGCTAACATCTCAATCCTTCTTGAGGTCGGTGAAAAGCCGAACAGACCACTGATAATATCTCAGGCTTTAAACACGAGTTCAAATTCGACAGACAACCTCATTTCCCTTAAGATTACAGGTACACAGTGTTGGCAAGTGCCGAGTAGGTCCCGAATTTGATGTCAACTACTTCCAACTAACTGATATCTAAAATTAGTGAATACTAAATTCTTGAATGAAAAGTTCGAAGAGTATTTCTTTTACAATTTTCATCTATACAGCTGGTAAACGTGAAAGGTTGTATCATTCACTTTGTAACCATCAATTTAATAACTTTGTTCACCGCAAAACTGGATATATAAAACAAAGTAATGTGGAGAATCCATTTTAAAGTGGAATTGTCACTTCGAGTTGTGTCTGAACAGTTAGTGGATTCCTACAACAAATAAACAGCGCTGCTCCTTAATATTAATCACTTTCTAAATTTATAACAGTTTGAGAACAGTACTTTTGTCATTCTTACAATATTATTATCAGAATGGGTTTTGTGGAGATTTTTTAGAAATTTCACAAGTTGAAATCATGAGTCAATTGAAGTTGACCACCATGGAAAACCTGGAAGCACAGGACGAAACGGCCGTCCAGTGCTTGTGAAATTCTTACAATACTAAATATAGCAAAACTAAGATATATTTTGTTTCGAATTCAATTCTAACAGGATATCGGCCTTATGTAAGGTTTTGTAATTTAATCATGAATTTCAGATTGAGTGAAAAAAATCAGAGACGGTTAAACCAGTTCATTTAACAACTCATTTACCAGCAATAGAGGGATGTTCTATGGGGGCCCGTTATTTAATCATCATTTCGACCGAACGATGTTCGTCGAAGGGCTTTCCACTTTAGTGGCCCGTGGATTTGACTCCAAGATGACCGTATGGATGATTGTTATTGCCTATCCTCGTATATAATCATCGACTTAAATCGCGTTAGTCAATAACGGAATCAAATAAGTCTAATAACGAGAATGGACTTGTGAATATATATATTTTGTATATAAAGCGAATGGAATAGAGAGAAGAGAAACGACGCAGAGTGGAGGTGGCTGATGGTAAGCCAACTCCCATTTAACCAAGCGTTAATCAATATTTATAGTTACACAAAAGTAAGTTACAGACATGTGATGAGTAATGGGATAAGAAATGTACACACACCTACGTGCTCATATAAAACCAGTCAAGATTGATAAGCGAATAAATAACAAGGTCAGAATGTGACCTAAGTAGAATGAATAGATTGGTTTGTCCGAAAGCTAGAATAAGGTATATGGGCTTAACATAGTAACCGACACTATAGTTTCCTTCCTATGAATGACATTAAAAATTGAACCACCTTGGCTCCTGTATTGAAGTTCATGGACTGAATTTCAATCCTGTAACTTACAGAAAGTTAAACGCTATGACCACTGATTTACCCTACAACTGAGTTTCATGTAAACTTTTATTCAGTATTTAATATAATGAATTCTAATATTTTGTCGATTTTAAATTCATATAAACTTTTCAACTCCTTTTCCACCGTTTGTTTTCAAGAACTGTCTTCATTGGATAGACAGATCTAGACCATGTGGATTACAAGACGTTCGCAATATATTTAGACCGAAAGATTATCCATTAATAAGTGGATGGGATGAATCAGGTGGTTGGTCATTGTTTCAGTCGTTTATTGAAACACTCTCTGATGGAAACTGTTCACCTTCCCGAAATAAGAACGGCAAAGGTAAGAATGTTTAACATTTTCATCGGTTATATAAACAAATATAGTCTCATTGAAATTTCAGATTTCATTTGATACTAAACCATATTTCAGAAAGATGAATATTTAACTCATTAATTCCTTCTGATAACCGCAAATATGACTTGGTGTAACTAACCATTCTCCCATCAGTGAATAGTTTATTTTTACTCGTACTTTTGACAGCTGCAGATCCAAAACACATAGACCAACCACTAAGAATTACCAAGACCATGTTTGTCTAATCTTTAACGCTGATCGAATTGCATCAAAGAAATCGTAGAATGGTGTCTGAAATCTTGAAAGATCTATTGTTTCCATTGATATTAAATCTAGTGTTATTGATTGTCAGAGTTCTGACTGACATCTAGTATCGCTGCCAAACGGAGGCGGATAAGGTACAGTTCTGCGGACGTCGTTGGGGGGCCGGAAGACGAGAAGTTAGTTGGCGCACCCGGCGAAGGAAGGGGACGTCAAATAGAGTGTCCTGTCAGAGCGGCGTTAGGCACAGCAGTGGCTGTCCTCATCCCGGTTGCTTGGCGCAGATCGTGTGTAGATGGCCGGCAGGTCACCATTGCTACGGAGGTCAGGGGTCAATATTTTGGCAGGGAGAATGGCACAGACTGAAGCAAAGAAGGTGGCATGGCGAGAAGAACAACTGCAAGAGCGGTCATTTAAAGAGGGGGGACGAGCGTGGTGTATACTACTTATGTCGGCAGATATAAGTGTATGTAATACCAGTCAGAGATGGAATGTCTAGCAGCAAGAGTTTGAGAAGTTCGAACTGAAGAGAACAAAAGGAAAAACAGAGAGAAACTTTAATAAAAGCATAATTGAAGGAGTCATGAAGCAGGTAGTGGACGACTGATGGAAGATATTCAAATGAAGTACTTAATGTATGGTTTAAATATTTTATTAAGCTAGTGTAATTATGCGTTTAGCAGTAAATTGGTCTTCTTCGTTTACTATAAGTCATAAAACAGAAAGTTTCTTCGTGGTCGTTCCATCCAGATGTTATAATTAATAATATTTAAGGACACATTGCATTCCATGACGTTTTCGGGACTTCTCATTTCAGTAACTATAGCACAACTGTAAAGCATGAGCATCAAACAAATATTCGATCGAGATTTTAACCAAATATATTTTGAATTCTCCAAAATAACAGATAGTTCTGAGATAATGTAGAAGATTTGTAGCTCAAGTGGCTGATTTTGGTGAAGTTTTGTTTTCTGAACACGATGGTTTGGTCGTGGAGCTTTCATCGTTCTTCTGAACGACATTATCAGCACAAACTTCAGATAGTTCATTTAATATTCAAATGGTTATTTCACAACACAAACAACAAGTTCACTACATTGATCAACATTTTGAGTCCTAAAATGAATAAATATGATATTTGACTTTGGAAATAAAAATGTTCTTCTGACCACGTGAATTATTTACTGCTTATTATAACTTAATATTCTGTTTATAAATGTACGTGAAATACTCGTATATTATTAGTTGATGGACAGACAAAATATGTTCATGGTGAAACACAATTTCTGATTGTTCGTTCTGTTTAAACCTATATAATGAATGATATTCTTTATCACATCTAAGTGGAAAGATTTCTCAAATGAACGTTGAAATAAAACGAACTTTCAAATCCTATCATTGTGAAAATGTAGTGACAGTAACTCAATATTTGAATAATACTTTAATAATAATATTTGAATAATAATAATTAAACAATTAACTCTTAACCGGAAGTCTTTTCTTTTAAAAAGAACAATGCAAAAGTAACTTTAAGTTTTTTTAATAACAAAGTGTGAAATCCATGCATGATGTAACAGATGCAAAATGTGAGTTTTGCTATGGGAAATTTCATAGTGATGGAATGTTCACATCCATTCAGATAATGGTTAACTGATCTGATCACAACAAATAAATAAACCCATTTGCACATGAGGTTTTACTAACGAAATAATAATTATACTTATAACTCACTTTATTTTTAACTGCATTTTTCGGCTGAAAGAAGTATTAGCGTAGGTGTGGATTCGGATTACACTTGTTAGTTTACTTTAGACCATCCATCTTTTTGTGACATACCTATATTTGCAATGATTACTCACAATGGAGAGATAATGTCTGGTGCTAACACTTCTTTTATTAAATAGTTGAAATATCAAAATGTTTTGAAACTAACCGATGTACTAAAATTTGAAAGTCGATAATTCTGAACAATAACAACCATTTTAATAAACTTGCGCCATTTGTATGTGGTGAATGAATATTCCATGACTAAAAATAGCCGAACAGGCTTAAATAAATAATACGATGAGGGAAAAATTGTTTCTCCAACTAACACTAAATTTATTTCACGTAAAAGGCTCACTGACTTAACTGAAATGTTCAAAACTTTTCTTTTGAAGATAAAAGTGAAGTTGGTGTGGTATGAAACTGGTGTTTTAAAAGTTAACATTGTAAGTTTAAGTACAAACTAAGAAATTTTCCGCTCACCAGTAAACGACTCTGCTTTATTAGTGGTATAAATTGAGCAAGTATTTACAAATTATCTCCTGGTTTATTGTTCGGAAATATACATATTCTACTACTAATTACAAGTCAACAATATAATACTTTAGGTTAAAAAAAGATATATGATCCGAATAATCGTTCATCAAATTGAAATTTCATTTAAACATTAAAGTAAGGTCTCATATCTAAGTAATAGTTAATATATAACTTTAATATATGTCACTAATACACGATCAGTTATGTGGATATTTCCTTTAAAGCTAAAGTGCTTTAATAATTGCAAAGTCTACCACAAATACACGTTACTTAATTATTTTCGCCTGTTGCCCCTCGTCGGAGAGCATAGGCCGCTCACCAGAAATCTCCATCCAATCCTTTCCTCGGCAATTCTTTCCACTTATTTCCAGTTGCAGTTCATCCTTTTCATATGTGCCTCCGATTCTCGACGCAGTGTGTTCTTTGACCTTCCTCTTTTCCATCCCCCTCCGGGATTCTAAGTTAGCGCTTGCCTCGAAATGCAGTTTGATGATGTCCTATGATGTCCTATCCACTTCCAATGTCTTACTTAATTTCCTTTTCAACTGGAAGTTGGCTTGTTCTCTCCCATGGTAGCCGGTCAATGGATATTGAATATTTTACGTAGACAACTGTTTATAAATACTTGTAAATTCTTGATGATGTTTGTAGTAGTTCTCCAAGTTTCAGCTCGGTATGATAAAACTATCTTTACTTTCGCATTGAATATTCTCACTACGATATTGGTTGACAGTTGTTTTGAGTTCCATGTAGGAAAGAGGCCCTTGCCTCGCCAATCCTTGCCTTCACATTTGCATCAGATCCTCGTCGTTCATCGGTGATGCTGTCCAGGTAATTGTAAGTTTCCAGCTCTTCTAGGGCTTCGACATCAAGTGTGGTTCGTTCGGTGTATTTGACCATTTAAATTTCTAATTGATAATTCGTTTTAGATTATTACAATATCATTTACTCGATTATTGAATGATCTTTTATTCTTATAGCAGCCTGGTTAAACAGAATGTATTTGATAGAAAAATACACTGATTGCAAAACTGGAGAATAACTTGTCAATTTATCAATAAATATTTCACGTCTAGTATCCTACCCAAATTTTTATACATGGACTAATTCGTTGTGTTTCTATTCTATTAACATTAAAACACTCAAAAATTACTCTACTAATCCTACTCCATGTACGTTTACCATATTATTATCGGACAGATAGCTTGCGTACTTAAATTAAGTCTAAGTAGTAACGTTGGGCAGCGGCTTAGTTGTTAAGGTACTTGTTGTTAGCCAAGTAGAACACCACTTCATCTACGTCGAACTGCGTAACCAAGTAGTATTACTTCATCTTACACTAAACGTATGTCTCAAAGACGAGTACGAATTACAGGCGCTTGATAAGTGAATTATCATATTATATGTATTTTATACATCTCAAATAAATTAGGCATTAAGGTAAAATGATTTAAACTATCTTTGCTAACCAACATCATTAAACACCCAAGAACAAATATTTACTCTCAACAGGCCATTCCTATGCAGCTTATACCAATAACCACATCGAACTATGTTTCATGTTAAGGAGATGGAGAATCGACCTTAGTTAGACAATCATTGAAATCCAGTGAGTACTGGAAAACCGACCCCTCCGAATATGGGACCCTCTCCTTGTGCGCACCCACAGCTCCATCAAGAGTCATAGCCAATACCTTAATGTTCCGCAGTAAGGGATTAACTTTAAACCACTGGACTAGCGTTTGATGACGGATGTGTCTAACTACAATCATTTTGTGATATTGTGTAGAGGTTTGTGAAAATTGTTGGATGTTATTGAGGTCATGAATCATAAGCAGATAACCAACAGATTTCATATGATAGAAGAATTGATCATCAAAACATGAGACGTTACATGTAACTAAACGACATGCTCATGTGCTTAACAGTTAACGCCAAAAAAACATGATTCATTTAAAACAATCTTCACAATCCCATCTACTGATCCTAACTAGTGACTAGTGGAATTGACACAAACCAAGTGAAGGACAGTTGTACACCAAAGATAATGACGTATGGTTGTACAATATTACAAAATGATCAAAGCTAGGGAAGTAAATTGATGAATGCTGTCAATGGTCTAAGAGACCATATTGTAATGAACGAGATGTGAAGTGAGGACGACCAATCTAATGTTTACTGGAAATTTACAGAATATCTTGGTAAAATATATGAACCACACATTGAACACTTCATTTGCAAATTTTCATCACTTGTCCTTCACATTCTTTATGATTCTTCCAAGTCGCGATTCCCTTGTATTCGCCCTACTGTTCCTTTCAATTCGATTTTCTTAGCCTTCTGCTGCCAGGTTTTTCACTACCGATTGGTGTTACACACTACATATGTCTGTCAACATATGTACTACATATCACAGTATTTCTATTTCCAGAGAGGACGTGGATCTGAGTTGATGAGGAGTCTCAAGCTAGTACAAAACATCTGTTCAGTGAATTTCCGGCTTTAGTAGTTCTTTGTGTCATACTTTAACGCGAAACTTTTTATTTTAATGTTTCAAATGAAAATATAATGTTGTTCAGTTTCATGGCTGAAAATAAGTTGGTATTTTATTAGTTGTACAGTCATAAACCAATTGAATCCTGTTCTGTGAGTTCTTCAACAGAACTAGAAATCAGATCCCATTATAGAACTGAAAAACTATTTAATATTATTTAAAACAATTATTATTTTGTGGTAAAACAAATCTTCAATATTCATTGGTAAATTGGTTGACAGAGAATTTCGAATATATTAAAATGCATAGATTTTGTGAATTGGGTGAAGAGCATAGTGACTAATTTTTGATAGTAAAACCATATATTTAAAACTTTCTCGAAGTTTTTCTGCTTCAAAATGTTTATTTTAAGAGACTTACTTCGTATATACTGTAAAATGTCTCTAATGTACCCTGCAATTTGATTCACTCTACTTACAAACCATATTCTTTTTATTCAACTGACCATGGTAATCAAGTGGAAACTATTATGATGAGCACTCCGTGATAAATGATTTATTTAATTATTCGTTTTTTCACAAATAGTTTTCAAATATCATCACATACTTTAGTTCCATTTTAGAAAATGATCCGAAACACTTCTAAAGCGAATAAATATATTTGGATCATAACAAATTTTATTGCTAAATCGTTGGAGGCAGTCGGAAAGATACTCTGAACCTAGGGTTCATGTTATTCGATACACGACAACAAGTTCAATCTGTTAGCTTGAAGGAACCGATGCTAATTGTGAAATTTGAATTCGCGTTATGCATCCTTACAGTGTAAATTTTTAACATTGGGCTAGTTATGTCTCCACCGACTTCATGTGGGATTGAGATTCTTACAATTGATTAATCATTGGGTAATAACTAATGTTTTATTTGTCTAATTTTATAGTGGTGATTGGACTCCATCTATAAAATTACAAATTTTATGATAACTGAGTAATTATTTGATTATGACTTATAAAATTAGGTCGAAATCAGATGAGTATCTTATGCTACTAACTATTCAACTGCTTCGTTGACACGCGGTTCAATTATGAAAATATTATAGCATGAACGTTTTGTAGATTGCAGTAATCCATATTTGTGTTGTCTATGAACTTGACTAGGATAATTAACTGTTTTTAAAATATAATACGAAACATGTAATATGTCCACGTGGACAATTTTTAGTTGAATAATAATACGTCTTAGTGACTGGTTAATTCAGTCAATCGTTTTAAAGGAATTCGTTTTGACACGTTTCAATAGTGTGTAAAAGTGTTTAGAAATATACAAATAGAATTAAATTAATATTTCTGAAGATTTTGTAATTTTCTAACATGACTTTCATTTGTCATATAAGCAAACGTTTTTAACTTCCTTCGCAGGATACGAGATAAGTAACAAAAATATTGAAACCACATTACACCACTATCACGTATTACCACCTACACAGACTTTTTCGCTGGAAAAATAATGAAATCTAAATAAGTCCATCGTGTCTATATCAGAGAATTTTCAATTCGATACTCACTCATTTAATTCGTTTATTATGCAAAGTTGAATGCAAATATACTAAACTAAACAATTTTAATTTTTAATATCAGTAATGCAAAGATTCTAACCTTTACAATGAAATAGAATGTGGCCTAGTTTCTATACAAATTCACAAATATTTTAATAATAGACTATTTGAGACTTTCCTACTATTTTATAACTCAATTGAAAAATTGAGAAAATAATGTTATGAGATAATAATTTGAGCGTCTTATATGAAAATTATTTGGTCCGTTAAACCATCGGTACATAATAAGGGTGGCTAATATCCATTACAATACTAATCCGACAGGCCTCTTATAAATTTATTTTGAAAAAGATAGCCGGTTCCGATTGTTTCACATTTGGAATTAGAATGGTACCAAAACAATAATCATTAAGCAGAATATTTGTTCTGTCATACTGAACCACACTTACTCATCAACGAAAGAGTGGAGCCGTTCTTATCAATTTTATAAACTTAGGTACTTCATAATATTATCTTATATAGAACCACACATGAGTTAAATGTTAATTAAAATCTCGACTTGTTCGAAAGCGCTGTTTAGTTTTACTATTAGTGTTAATGGTTGACGTTTAAAACAGATAATCAGTAAATTTCAAGTTTCCCGTTTTTCTCATATATATGCCTATCACGGACAAGGATGTATATCTTAGTGAATTTCACTTCCCATCCAAAACTGAAATCTTAGCACTCATGTTAACACAATACCAGAGTTTAGAATAGATGGACTGTAGGTAATAGGGCAGTCAAGGATAAGGGTATGATTCTTATTGAGATTCGTCGGCTGGATCCTACTACATCCCAGCATCTTTTCCTGTGAAGACCCTGATAGTTATCCGTCGAAGTTCTGAGTCTACACAACCATAAACTTGTTCAACTGAAATGGTGCTAATATCGTTAGTACGAAAGTATTGTGTTATTCCGTTGAAGATATAAGGGACTGGATTTTTGGTCAGTAAAAGATGTACGTATATGCACAAAAGCTTATGGAAATGTTATACTGGATGCCGGTGACGGGATCGCTCAAACTATTACTACTGAAAATATATGATGCAATCGAAATTTTATTAATTTTAACAAAAAGCAATCTCTTTTTTGCATGTTAAACTGAAAAGTAGTTGAATATCTCTCTTTTCACTTGTTAATAAAAGTTGAATAATACAGCTAAATCAATCTGCTGATGTTCATTTCGAAATGTTTTCGTGAAAGATTATTACTGATTAAAAGAATACTAGGTTTTAAGTTTCAGATAATTGGAGGGGCCTCTAATTCGCTCGCCAAATTTTTCATAGTCCACTATGTTTTTAACAATTAATGTTACTGGTATCTTTACAATTTAAATATCCAGCCCCTTAAATTTTACACTAAAGGCGTTTGGTGTATATAAGTATCTAATTTATGCATACATAGGCATCAGCAAAATTATATGATTAGTTTAATAGAAAATATGGAAGAAACATTTTGTCAAAATACGTAACATATAACGAGGAAAGTACCTTTATCATGTAGAAATAATTGGAATAATTTGATGACTGCACCTTTTGTATATCTGACTGTCAAAATTTATGATTAACTTCTCTTTTCTTAGTGTTATTTACCACCTTTAACTTCAATATTCCGGTTACAGTGCTTATACAAATCAGTTCTACTCATGAGTAAACATATATTGCACACAATTTATACCGGTTTTTCCACCAATTGCACTTCAAATAAGTAAGTACATTATACTAGTCCACGTACGACGATGTTCACATCTTGCCTTAATTGACTTCTTATTGCTTTTCTCAATTTATAGGATTGCAGATTATACATTCTGCGTGGTTTATCCCTTGTAAGAGTTGTAATCATACATCAAATGAAACAAATTGCGACTGGTCAAACGCACTATGGTATGAACCTAATGATCCAATCTATCTCTGTTTATACAATAAAAGAAGTATTCAAAATGATAAAAGTCTAATAACAACCTACGTAAGAAACCGTGTAGTAAGTAGTATATTTGATGTCCATTTATTATTTTTCTCAGAATGAGATTGATTAATACTCCATTTCGCAAGCTTAGTAACTATTCAGTGATTGGTGGTATATTCTTACTGAGATTGGAGACCATTTTCTGTGATCTGATGAATAAAATGCTTACCAATTCTTTAAAAACAGGGCTAAATGTTTGTAAAATCATTCCTTTGTTTAAAGAATTCGTTTTTCAACAAGATAAGGACAATTTACCTGTATACCATACTTGTAAACTCATCATAGGTATCCACACTGAGATATTTTGCCTGGTTGAATGTAAACGACAATGAAATTTCTCGTACCGTATTAACATTTTTCTAAACGCAACAACTTTCAATAAAAATATCTCAGCTTAGTTTCATAGTGTGCACAAAGCGGTCTTACATCGACAACCGTTAAAGACCAGGAAGCAGTAGATACACGTTTCGTCCTAATATAGGGTATCTCGGCCACCGGCAGTTACGGCTCAACCAGATAACTGACCCACAATCTTTAGGTCTCTCAGTTGGTATCCAAAGGATTGTAATCCTAACTTCAGTTGATTCGCAAACTCAACTTAGATTACACTATTAATTTTTCATTTAGAATAAAATATTTAAACTGAAGATAACTGATCGATAATTCATATCATCCTGTCATATCCTTTGTGGTACTTGCCCCTACCATGTTTAATGACCACACTAAGAGTCAGATTGGTAGAATTCAATTCGGAGTTGCAGTGACCGATTCAATTCAATGGTGTCTGAAATAACAACATGATCATACTTATAGCTACGAAGTTCACGAAGGCAAGCTTCAATCTTTATAGGAAAATCGCTCCCTACAGTCTCCTTATGCGTTTCAAATTAGTACCTACTACAACTTCAGGATTTTAGCATATAACCCCAAGTTATCTTGCATTGTTCACCGACTGATCAACAACATCAGTATACACCTGATGCCTGAGAATGAACAAAATATGCTGTTCAATAAGTTATTAATGAAGTCACTTAAATTGTACGGTTCAATTTATTACATATCATAAACCAGTTTGAAACTTTGTGTTTAATAGTTACATGTAGTTTTGTCAGAATTTTTTAAAATGTAGATTAGTTTCACATTTCCGTCTGTCTATCATCAGTGTGAATTTATGATTGATTTATTATCATAAAAAGCGGTCATATTGAATTTTACATATGTGCGTGTAAAAAATTAACAACGACAACATTTCAGAGAAAACTGTTTCTATTTCACGTCCATTGCATTGCAACAATAATAACGATTTGAGATCCTATCTGTCATTCGCATTATGTAACTTGTGATGACGATAATGATGATGGCGATTATAAATCATACCATGTAGATGTTACTGTCATACCTTATATTTGGCAACGAGTTAAATGTAATTTAATAATTTGACTCACTAACTGACCTTAGCTAGACCACTACCTAAAAATAGGAAACACTGGACCGATGCTTCATTCTAGTATAGGACGTCATCAATGGGTATTTATTGCCACACCCCAAGGGATTGGACTCAGGATGATGGATCTCGCTTGCGATAGTCTATTTAAGATCAGTTCATGATTAAAACTATGAAAATTTGATCTCCATATACCTTTATAATAATAACCATGTGTTCACTAATAACTAGCTTCAGGAAACAACACCTAAAGTTCTTATTAGAGGCTGTTTCCAGTTGCGTTTAACCATGTAGAGTGTGAGAGAGTAATCTACTTCAAGCAATGTAAGACGGTCACGAAATATCCTGAATTGATTAATATTAAGTAAATACACCAATTGATCCCTGCTCAGTATTCTAGAGGTGAAGAGTTCGCGTACGAACGTTCCGAAGTCTATCCCTCTTAGTCAGGTCGTGGGTATATAGAGCTGAGGAATCCCATATTTGAACTAAGATTCCGTCTAATGCTCTTAGGTTCTCATCGCTGATCTAACTAGAAACAGTTCGTAATCTCAACTGAGAGGACTCTACAATTTTTTATAAATCCTTCCATACTTATAATCTCAAAGCTCTAATTGTGTGCGACAGTTGGTCTCTAAAGTCAACCGGTATACAGATGTTTGTGACTATAGTTAACAGGAAAAACTAGATGAGGCTTGTACTTCTCCGTCCTTCTTAGTGTTGATTCTTAGTATTAAGTATTTCTGGTAGAGTACAGCTGATCATCCTATCAATATCTTTATTGTATTTGGGATTAACAAGTTTAGGTATTAAGAACTTAAATCGAGGTTTAATTGTAACGTCTTTAGGCCTGGACGAGTACATCGTATCTAACATTTAGGGGCATTTTCCCTCTCGCTTAGTTGGTGTGTTGCATACATGAGTGTACGTTTCAGTGAACAGTTATCCTTAAATGTCTATTGTCAAACCTTTTGTGCAGCGTAGGTCAACGTGTAAGATGGAAAACGCAAACATAACAGGAATTGATCATTGAGACGAATATGAAAAATATTTGAGCGAACAACTGTTTTCAACAACTTCATCGTCAGGCTATTCAGTAAGAAGTCCATAAATATGATATTTTATAAAGGCCAAAATAAGGTTTGTATTAAAATATTTGAAAATGCTATATGTTGAAAATGGTCGGTATTTGCATCTGTTACGACATATATACTTCAAAATTGTGTTATTTGTAAACTAGAAAGGTCATTTAATAAGGGTCAGAATGATCTGGAGTAAAGTATCAGGTTAGACATTATTAGCGTTGGATGCCGACCGAGTGGACTAGAGTTTAAGCGTTCGCTCGCGAGACTGAAGCTTCTGGATTCCAGCAATCCCGTATGCGGGTTGGATGCACACTTTTGAGGAGTCCCATACTGAGATCAAACGGTTGTTCAGTGCTTCCAGATTTTGCATGATGGTCTAGCTCTAATTGACTCATGAATTCAACTATTAAAGGGTTAAGTTGCAATCAGTGTAATGATAATAAAGCAAAAATGAAAATGAAAAAATCGTGTGAATAAAATACATAGTAAAAGAATTTCAGGTGAGGCTTTAGTTTGTGGACGACCTTTAAGCGTTGCTGGACTGACCTTGAGATGTCCACCTATTCACTAGGACCAAATGACGGTTATAAACCTGTGTGGGCAATTAAAATTATAATTTACAGTTGATGGTTAAGGTTAGAAATTAAGTTTAAGGTTTTCATCACGAACTGAAATCAGCTATAATGCCGAAACTTTATTTGGCTAAATGGATGAGTGGATTTCGCGCCAAAATCTGAGACATTTTACCTTATACCATAAATTATAGTCTCGCTGAATTTCATCTCATTAATTGAGCTAATAATGATAATACCAGTCGTAATAATAATAATATCCTTGTGTTAGAATAATATGTAATAAGATGGTTGTTATCAAGGTACTTACGATAAAAGAGAATTCATATGAATTGGGAAAGATTGATGTAATAAAAAAATGGAAGGGGCTAAATGTTTTATAATATTCAGTTATCCAGTCGTAGACCAAGGTAAAAGTGAAAGCTAGACATACTTTTTCTGGATACATGAGTTTGGTTTTCTGAAGTTGATCCAGATAGATGTGGCTATGTAGAGTGACCGTAATTTAGCTCCTTGAGGTAGATTCTTTGGAACTTGATATAAAACAGAGAAAGCTTCTTCTATTTTGATATTATGCCTTAGTTTAGCTTTTGTAAAATATCATACTTATGGACTTCTAACTAAAGAGCCTGACGATGAAGTTATTGAAAACAATTGTTTGCTCAAATATTCTTCATTTCTGAATACTCCATGAAGATTTTTAAACCATCCAGTGCTCCCATGTTTTCAATGGTGGTCAAACATTGATCGGTTCATGATCTCGTTTATGTATGTTTAATTTCCTATGGCGATAAATTTTTATTTTGTAATTTATTGGATATTTTTACCGTTGATATTTTACGGTTAAATTGGTCAGTTTCCGCTGTTGCATTGATTGTTTAAGTACGATTCCTAATATTTTTATTCGGAAAATTTATATGACAACAGGGACTGATCATCTCAATTCTAATTATTTACAGTGGAAGGTCATTAACATTAAAATTAATAGCCATATCATACACGTTAACAAATGGTTATATGACTAAATAGCTCTGTTGTGTTTGTGTAATTATAGTTTTGAAGAAGTCAGGAACGTGTAAGTCACTTTGAAGTTATCTCATATATATCGAGCTAAGATAAGAATTATTCCCTACATTTTAATGAGGAAACAGTAATGAGCTTTTTGGTGGTGTTTCGTTCTCTGAGCTGATCACGACCAAACCATCCAGCTCAGAGAACGAAACACCACCAAAATCATCCACCTGAGCTACAAATCTTCTCCACCATCTCAAAGTAATGAGCTTTCTATAAAAAGTTTAACTGTTAAAGAAATCGTTCGTCAGTGATCGCATATGACGAGTAATTGTGAAAGAATGGAGAGGATTACGAGATAAAGTGATACCTGATTATGATATGCATTAAAGACGATGAAAAGGGAGAAAAGATTTTTTCCCATAGAAAGTTGAAAAAAATCAAGTAAATACTTCTTACAATGCACTTAGCAATAAGAACCAAAAAGACCTAAGATTATTCTACAAATATACTTGAAGAAGTTCATTGGATTAAATAAATGTTTGGTGATTAATTTCGATTTGAACTTTAATTGTCACTACAAGAGTACACACTGTAAACATGGAAGACATTTCAGTTTAGTTAAAAAACTATTTGCAACGAGACAAAGAGTTTCGAGTATGTAAGCTAATAAAGTCATCTGGATGAGTATCTTTATCGAATGTTTTTAGATAGATACAAAATATTTCACAGTCAATCTAGAAAACGTCTTGTATAATGTAAAAATACAGATGTCTAATCGATTCATCTTATATTAAAAATCGTTAATTCATATTTGCTATTGTCTGATTCTCTGAAAAGGGTTAAAAAGCTTGTAAGGTTACTTCAGAGGTCACCTTATTTCGACACATGAATTCAAATACATGTCGATAATCATGAGTATTGAGTCTTCAATGTTCGAAAACTGATAACTAGCAAACACGAAATCGTGAGAGCCTAAAGTTTTATATTTAACACCTAATGCTCATCAGAATATACATAATGCATAGCTACTTGCTTTGTTGAAAATTTTAAGTACTTTGTTTATGGAATACTACTTAACTTTTCTAATTTAACTGTTTTAACCCAAAAAAGGTTACTCTCAAATAAATATTTAATTTGTATAAGTCTTCACTAGGTTGAAATGATCCAAACCTTTTTTCATGATATTGATCCGAGTTTAAGAAATCTGAACATATTTTATTATCCTTGATTTCTAAAAAAAGAAACATTTAAACAGACTATTTTGTTTTAGCTTCTTTTTTTGGGCGATTCAACTTTACGCGGTTTAATGTATTCCTTACTGTATCGTGTAAACAAAACACTATCCCATGTTCAAGAAACACATGGACAAATAACGCTGATTAACAGTGCAACAATAACTACACGATTTACTTATTTTCCAGATTATTCAATAAAATCACAATTTAATAATAAAAATAAAATAAAGTCATTCAACAGTTTATTAAAATCACTTTTTATGTAAGTTGAAAATGAGCATTACGTTTTATATATTTTGAAATCGGTGTATTGTTAATAGAGAAAGCATTTCACTGATCAATAGAAACGCTGAGGAATTAGTTTTTTTTAAATCAACAGGTTATGTGTGCATTTAGTATGTATGAATGTGTTTTATAGACAACCAAATGTACACTCATATTTGTGTTCCTTTAAATAATACAACGATAGAACAATAACGAAAATATGCGACTTACCTTCAAGACGGGGACTATGGTAAAATTATTGATGATAATGTTATATATATGCTTATAATGCTTGTGACTTGAGGCAATATTCACAGTATGCATATATGCCAATAAAAAACTGATCAGTCGCAGTCCTAAATATCAGTGGGAAGATCCAAACAAACAATACTGAGTGAATTTAAAACTTCACATTGTACATGCAAGTGGATATCAGGACTCAGTATCTAAGTAGACAACGTGATGGCGTTTCAAACTGACGATACTGGCTTCGAGTGTCTGAGTGAACATTAACTCTGAGAGGCAAGTACATCCAGCTGACAAGTCCCAAATGGGACGAAACGCGCGTCCTGGATTCCACTACTAGCCACCATCCATCTTTGCTCATATATAATGGCTTAATTGTTATTTCTGCTCTAATTATTTTACCCTGAAACGAATTTCAGCCATTCATATTATTATTATGGTAATTTTTATAGTGCCGTTATACCATAGATCTCTCTTTTGTTGCCTGTGCTACATTCACACTAACCGTTTTTTTTTTCTCTCGCTTATTATGACAGGTTTAACCAAACATTCAATGAAGCTTTGTTGTTCGTGGGTGGTGTACGATGGCTAAATTCGTATCATTTAAAGGCAATACAAGTATTTATCGATAAACAGTAAGTTAGATTTTTTTCTGCAATATTCACACAAATAGCCGATACTTAAGATGTGATAAAATCGATTGTAGCCAGAAAATGTCAATCTGAATGAGATTACTCACTGTCTAAACGTTAACAATACTGAAAATATCCTCTATTTTGTATATTACTTTTCATCCAAGTAATCTATTGGGATATTTGATCAATCAAACACTACTGTTTTATTGTTTATAAAGCACAGTGAAATTGCGAGTATCTCTCCAGAGATATATAACTCTAAAGTGAGCAGACAGTGACTGACCATTGAATAGTAACTTCTGTCACGCTTGTCTAGTCCTTAGTGTTGACGAATCCATTCCGACTAATTTTCAACAAGGCAGATAGATGGTAACGTCAAAGACTGTCAAGCTGGATGATGTAAATTGGAATCCTGAGGGAAGCATTAGTTTTCTTTAGAATTCAAGTTATGACCTGATTTAGAGTGACGGTTAACAAAAAACCTTGACTAAGCACATTTTCTTATAGACTGCCTCCAAAACATTTAACAATGTGAAAATATAACCAATCTGTCGAATTCCAGGAAAACGTTTTAAGAACAGGATGTTTGTTTTATATCCAACGATTTGTATCAGTTCAACTCCTTGTATCATTTTTGTGATTATCGTCTAAAGTCTAAGGGATATACTGAGTGAAAATACAGGTACAATATTACGGCCTGTAGCTGCTATTTAATAATAACAGATTATTATAGATATTTTAAACTTCCTAAAAGCAGTTGGAAGTTGTTTGTATTCACATGATTTTAGGTGATGTGTTATGAGCTAAATAATTTAAATAATAATTTTTGATTGTTATTCTTGCTATGTCTCGATCGCTTATTACTTATACCTATCCACAACAATTCCCACGACGTGAAGTAAGAACACCATGACTGATACAAGTGAAAAACCATTAATCCCAAAACACGAGAACGACCAGTCCAAAATACAATCATTTATATATCAATTATACGCCCATCCTGATCATTCATTAGGATAAAATCACATATATGATAAATCCTTACAGTTATAACAAATTGCATGCTACATGTCATGCTCAGTATCATTACATTGAATTAAAAAAGATGGAAGTAATGTTGAATATGAACCATGATGAGTAAAGAATGTAATTTTACCTTTTTAATACCACCATAACAATTCTTTACATCATTAATGAGTTGTTCACGTAACCGTTTAATTAATTTACTAACGTTTAATCCGCCGATTCTGAAAACTTGGTGTGACTAGTATTTTCGTAGTTTCCGGTGATCTCGTATAGGTTTTCATTCTCATTACTCGTTTACGGGTAAATTACTAAGGTTCATGCCTGTCGATATATTTTTTTCAGCACGCCGTGTTTCTAGAATGGTTCCAATTTCATAGAATTTCGTGAAGTGAGATTTTCGACTTAAAGGTTTCATGTCCATTGTTCTTTGCAGATGTTAATCAGAGTAATAAGGCATAATGTCACTTCATAGCTAACTAAAGGTTAAAAATATTAAGCTTGAGAAGGTCATACAAACCCATTCCTAATCATCTCTTTCATACGCTAATTAATATTGGTTGATCATGAGACCATTTTGATTTCTGTATCATTTGACAGTACTTCAGTTTATATCATATGATATAAGTTTATTATGAAAGTATTCTACTTCGAAAAATGGCTTTTATAAAATGACGTATTTCATAAATTATATCTTTAAACTTTAATACAAAAAGATTGTCAAAACTCAAATACATTACTTAATCTACTGTTTAAATGACGAGATGATATAATGCACATTGAAAACCCGGAAAAGTTTATTTGTTGTTTAGTCCTCGTATCGGACTCAGTAGTATACAACCATGACCTCATCAATAACCAGACTGTTAGGTTTCGACCCACCCGTTTAACCTTTAAACCACTGAATCAACAGTTAATGGTTTGAATTTTTTATATTAATTAATTCACAACATTAGGCGATCTTTCTTTAATGCTACTGGTAGGTAATTGTCTCATAATTGATATGGCCGAACTATTTTATTATTTTCTCTCCAACCTATACATATTGGCTTCATGTATTCAATAGACATCTAAATGTATTTGCTAATAAAATAATATCATCAAGAAATGACCGTGAAAGTATTGAATAAATTTTTTACTTTAAAAATTTTGGAAAATGTATTTGCTTCATAAAACTAAAGAAACAATAACTCATAACCAGTATTCATGGTTCTATATAATGGTGTTTAATTTTTGGTAATGATAGAGATTGATGATGATTACGATAATAATAATAATGATTAAAAATATTTTCAAAAATAGTACACTCATGATCTGATTGATACAAATAGCTGGATGACAATGATAATTACATAGAATCATCTAAAAGTTTGTATATCTCCCACGTAAAATGGATGATCACTGTTTTTCTAACTTAAACTTGTAGCCTATTTCAAATGATAGAAAACGTGTGTAGAAGAAACTTTAACATTTGTTATTTTACAGTGTTCTTCATTGACTAATATCGTGTGGCTTTTTAGCTTGTAATAGGGTGATTTTGTAAAACACATCATAGGATCTGAAAAGTGTAGCTAATGATTTATTAGATTGAGGCTAAAGCTTCCCGTTTTTAGAAACATCCTCTCTCAAACATTGCATTGTGTAAAGTAATTCTAGACACTTTAATTCCTTTTAGCAATACTGTGAATTGAAGCGTTAGAAGCGTAAACCATTAATTACCAACTACGTACTAAATTTTAAGCACTCACTTGAGATCTGAAGGGTCTGTGTTCAATCCCCGGTTGGATGAATGCTTATAATAGTACAAAACAAATATCCATTGTCTACTTGCTTTAATGGCTGTCTAAGGTGAGTCCGTGATGTAAAACGAAGTTTAACAATTTTCACAAACCATATATAGTTACGTGTGTTTCAATTAGCCTACTTTTCACAGAGCAGCTTTGTTGACAGAACATGATCATTAATGTGAATCAGAACACAGACTGCTTGATGATTTATCAACTAATTATTATTTTGTTTGAAATTGTACCATATCAAAAACTCTCACTGAAAATATAATTACTGTGCTATCATTTTTCACTGACCCACTAATTATTATACAGAAAGGTATTTCGTTCCGTCAAAGTGTATATCAAAGATTATTCTGCTGGTTTTCACACACCTGTTGATGGATTACCGTATGTTAACTGGGTAAGTAACTATATATGTAAGATATCTTTGCAGGTTTTGTCCAATTAATGCCTATTTTGATGTGCGATGCTTGCTAGTGTCAAAATTGGTTTGAAGGGAGTTAGGTGCAGCCTTTTTAGTCCATGAAGTCTCATACTCTCGAACTGAGTCACTTTTTGTAGACGAAGACAAACTATTTGAGGTTAACCAGGTTATCGTGGCTAATGATTGGAGACGTTAGGTGGCAAGGCTCAGGATTTTTCACAGTGACATGGATACATTCTTTAGTCATCTTCCCTTAGATCTTAACTTTCAAAATTATCTTATACTTTTTATTCCGAAATTGATTTTCTCTTATTTCACATATTGGTGCATAGTTTCGAAATGAACTTCCTAAAGTTCTAGGAGAAGGCAGAGATTTGTAAAGTCACCCAAATCAGAATTAGTATGACCATCCACTGATGGCATCATATTGTAATTCACTAACTCACTTACCACAAATCACTGTGTGTACTTGACTTTGGGTCGCACTTTGGATGGATGTACTGAAGATACTACTTGGTTTTAGAAATTGATTTAGATGAGCTTGAAACCAAACGGCTGAAAAACAGACAACTAGATTAACTATCCTTAGTACTAGAATGAAATATCATATGTTTCAGAAAATATTTACTCATGAAGAGTTTCCCATAACCTCAACTTCTTCAGACATTTATTATTATCAAGACTTTGAAAGTACATATGTTGTTTTGTAAACTTCAACACGCTCACTCATTAATTATTATTGACGTAGTACAAATAAATATAATTAAATATGTTTTTTAATACTTTTGTTGTGAACTACTGGGAGATTTTTTACACTAGTCGCAATATACATGAACTAGAGAGATTACATGGCTAGTACATTGTATCATTTCGGCGATAAAAATCCACATACGAATAAGAGAAACAAAAAAGTTGAAGAGATTTCTACAACGGCCCTTAATATTCCGAACGCAAATCAACATTATAGAATAATTCTGCTTAAATGGAAGAACATAACCTTAAGACACATGATAAAATAGTAAACCAAAAGCAAGAACAACTAGTCAGATGACAGAGAAGGTCAGTGGGCAAAAATGAATTGAAAAAATACCGAAAACTTCTTGCATATCGTAACAAAGAAAATTCTGATCATCCGTGGAAACCTTAACAATCATTATGCACCACATGCAACAAACTGATCTTGCAAGTTATTTAGATAATTAATTACAGATTCAACTAGGCTAAGACTATTCGTTCAATAGTTTTATGACGTCAATTACTAACAGGTTTTAGGTCTTCTATTTCAGTGTTTCGTCAACTGTGATACACTGATATAAATACTTTACAGTTTTAAAGATTTTACTGAAACCAGTTCACCTAATAAAATATTCAGTAATTGAAAAATTCAAGTCTCCACAATCTTGATGTTCAAAGTTAACCTCTGATCACCAGTGACTAGCTTCGAAAGGAAATTTCCGGGGTTCTGGTCCGATGCCGTGACTAGTTCAACACAAATCTTTCGGGTGTGAGAAACTTATCCCCCGAAGACAATGGCAGATGCTGACCCAATACCTCGAATTGACTAAAGTTGAACGATAATACCGTTGGATACCAGCTTTGTGGTCTGGTGGTTAAGCGCTAGCATATGAAATCGAAGTTCCTGAGTCCTATCTGCCATGGTGAGATCGTAAGTGAGCATTGCTGAGGAGTTCCATGCTAGGATGAAACAGTCGATCATTTTCAGGTTGTCAACGATTGTCTAACTTAGATCAGTTCGTGCTTTTAATAAAAATTACTAGTACTTATATTTATGAAGCAACTGAATATAACGTTATCAAAAACTAATTATTTTAAATTTAATATCGTTTTAATAAATAAATTCAAATTCTTTGATTGTTTATAATGCGTTTCCAATCACTCTCCGTGTATACGCATTTTATTTAGTCGAGAAGAATGCATGAACATAGAAGGAATCAAGAACTAATCAGATTGATAAACGAATATAACTGGTCAATTATTTCAACACACCAAATCACTTGGACAAGACTTAATCATTTTCATGCTTATGCAAGATGTTCATGTCATTTTTATCACGTTATAAAACAAAATGCACAATCAAATGTTGCAATAAACAAATATCAACATACTATCAACAATAATGGTGAAGATCATAATACATTTGTCTATCATATTATTGGACAAATTCAGTGGATTATGTCAAGAATCGTTGAGACAACAATTATAAATAATATTTATTAATATTGTTGTTTCTACAACATAATTATGGTTTTATTTTTTAGTTTGTTTACTTACTAAGTAGCAATCAATATTCATACCTCATAGTTTACTTCACAAACTGATTTTAGTTAGGTAACCACCGTAAACCAGAAAACACTGAACAGTTGTTCATGAATCGACTGAAGTTGGAAATGTAAACCAATGAATAATGACTAGAAGCCCATTGTGTCACTGAAAATAAATGAAGACAATTAAACGAAGAGAATTTCCTTTGCAACAGCCTCACTTTTTTCAAGTTATACAAGCGTATTTATAATTAATTTCATTTGCAAAAGCAGTAGTCTGTGACAAAATAGAATGGTATTAAATAATTTAAAAGAACTTGAAGTGATATATTTTCGTGAATTGTTTACAGAAATCAGATATTGAAACGAGGTTATATAGTAATCGGCTATTGAAACGTGCTGAGGTAAAGATAATTGTCCTCGTGATAGCTATTAAGAAATGAATAATTAAAAGTTGTGATAGTGCATATCCTATCGACAAAGTTGTAATGTGACCACTAGTCTAGGTGACTGTTAAGCTGGGCGACACGGGATCGAATCCGTCAGGAAGCATCAGTTCCCTCAAGATTACAGGTACATCTTGCTGACGAGTGCCAAGTAGTACGAAACCCAGGTCCAGGGTTCCCTGTGGACTACCTCCAACCAACATCTTAGAATGGAAAGTTGACGCCATGGACGAATGAGGGCCTGAACATACTGTTTTTGTACGCAAAGGTTAAGCTTGATGTGGTGGATAGCAAAGCATCTGATGCACATAGGGTCCTTTTAAGCAAGCCTTTCTGACTGCGTTTCAAAAGAGCTCGCATTATGTGGCCAGTATAATCTGGTCCACATGAGCAAGTAAACTGATAGATGCACATTGATTTGGCACAAAGCGGAAGCTTATCATTGACACAACTACGAATTATAAGCCGACCAGAAAAGATGATGCGAAGTTCGAGTGAATGGAATACTTTCCTCAGAGATTTTGAAGGTCTGTTTACCAGAATTTCTGTTGCACTATCTCCTTTCATTGGCGTGGACGATACGTGAATTTTCACAGTTGGGTCCTACTGAAGCAAGACAGGAAGATGACCCATTATCTCTACATGAGGGCCAGATGAATCTGTACCAAGGATACAATCGATATTGAGCTTGATAAACGACGCAGATACTAATGAACAATGGATATCCACCTAGATTTGCTTGCTACAATACTTGATGTTGCTGAGCACAATTCTCAATGCAGTCACGACTGGAGACTGGAGACGAACCTTATTTTTAGAGGAAACAACTATCCAGTACTAGCTAATTTTCACTTGCTATCTATTTAAAATCACTAAGTGATATAAACTATAAAATTTGCGAAATACCTACGGAGCCCTTACAATGATATCCATTTTGTGCATCTTTTATGATGAAATAAATTTCTTAATAAACGGAATACACCCATTATGACATTAAATAAGAAAGAAAAATTAGTTCAGCGAAGAGTTCTCTTTTCGGCGAATTCATTTTCAAAGCTGTACAATCGCAAATATATATACTTATTTTTACAGGGTGATAATAATACTGATAATAAACTTGTGTTATACATGGTGAGAGTGAGTTTAAATAAACAAAGGTATTAGAAAAAATTTTTAAAACAAGGAAAGTTTAATAATCGTTTGATAGTTAATGGCTTAAATATTCATTAGGTAAGGATGGCTCAGCATGATAAAATAAAATGTTGAAACAGAAATGAAATGTAATTGAAATGATCGTGGAAATAAAAACAAACCGATTGGGGGCAAAAGATTTTAAAGGAAGATGGAAGGTGGAGCAGGTGGCTGTAAGGGAACAAGAGTATGAAGAAAGAGAAAAAAATTTTAATACATTAAGACCATGGTAGAAGAAGAGGTTGTACCAATCTCTTTTGAACACATAATTCTGGTTTTTCAAAATGTATGGCTATTGCTTCGGCAATGCAAAGAAGATGCAGTCTAATTGTCTTAGGAAGGCTTCTACTTACCTTGTAGATGACTTTAAACGTAGAGTCTGTCTTGATTGAGTGAACTGTGTTCACAAGGTGTTCGATTATTGAACTTCTTATCGAGCCGTTGCCTCCTCTTTTTAGCCACGCCGGACAATGTTCTTGAATTCTTTTGGATAAAGTAAATTTCATCAGAATGGGGATCTGTGGTAACTGTAGTAATTTTAATGGTTGAATTCATGTGTCGATCCAAGGTAGACCAACGCTGGAAACCTGAAAGCACTGGAAAGTCTTTTCGTCCTAGTATGGGTCTCCTCAGAAGTGCGCATCCACGATCCCGCATGCGCGATCGCTCAAGCTCAGGAGCTTCAGTCTCGCGCGCAAACGCTTAACCTCTAGATCACTAGGCCGGTATTTAACAGTGTTAATATTTAACTTCAATCTATCAATTATCTTGCGCAACTCTTCATACATTGTCTGTGGTAGGTAACTGTCACCACCAGATATGGATTGGAATCTATTGGTCACTAGAACTCCAGGAAATCCATCTTGAAGCTAGTCACTAGTGAGCAAATATTGAAATAAATTTTACCTATTCTGTATACTATGTGACCGAACGTTCGACTTGTTAAGACAATAACCATCAAATGAGAACAACAAATTTGTGAAGTTATTTTCTCCTTGAGTGATCTGTATTTTTTAATAATGAGAAGACAACCAGTATAACAGCAGCCTCAGCAGCAGTAGGTCTCAATATACACAAAGGGAAAAGCAAGAGTCTTCTATACAACACGGCATGCAACAATCGAATCACACTTAGTGGAGAAGCTTTGGAAGATGTTAAAACCTATACATATCTGGGTAGCATCATTGATGAACATGGTGGATCTGATGCAGATGTGAAGGCACAGAACGGCAGAGCAGGAGCAGCATCTCTACAACTGAAGAACATCTGAAACTCAAAACAAATGTCTGTCAACCAGCACCAAAGACAGAATTTTCAATATAAATGTCAAGACAGTTCTACTGTATGGGGCGGAAACTTGGAGAACTACGAAAGCCATCATCCAGAAGATACAACTGACGAGTGCCAAGTAGCACGAAATCCGGGTCCAGGGTTTCCTGTTGACTACCACCAACCATCATCTAAATCTCGATACAAGTGTTTATTAACAGCTGTCTACGCAAAATACTTCGGATTTGTTGGCCAAACACTATGAGAAACAACCTACTGTGGGGGAAAACAAGCCGGATTCCAACGGAGGGAGAAATCAGGAAGAAGCGCTGGAAGTGGATAGGACACACATTGAAGAAAGCACCCAACTGCGTCACAAAGCAAGCCCTCACATGAAATCCTCAAGGCCAAAGGAGAAAAGGAAGACCAAATAATAGGTTACGCCAAGAAGTGGAGACAGACATGAGAAGAATGAACAACAATTGTATAGAACTAGAACGAACAGAGTGGGTTAGAGAATACTGGTCGGTAGCCTACGCTCCATTGGGGGTAATAGGCGTAAGTAAGTATTTTTTTTAAAAGTCTTTTGATCAAAAATTTAGTTTATGAGTTTTTTTATGTTTTAATTCTTAACAGTCAAGTGAGAAACTACTTGTTATTATATTACCGTGTTTTAGTCAATCATATATGAGTTTTAATAAGGAAATGTTTAAGGCAAATAATCTAAATATATAATTATGTGAATTATCGAGTCAATCACGTAAAGTTAGGTCGGTTGTCTAATTCTCATTATCCGATTGCATCCTATTGATAGTGGAATCGAGTAGGTTATTGATACTAAACAAGCCAGTTGAAACGGTTTAAGCATAGTGATTTAAGGTTGTATTAAAGCCGAACTACTTTTAATTTCATGTAGACGAAGGTAACTGTTAAGTAGGCTTAAACGTATGTTTCATACAAATTATCACCAATCAGCAAGACATATCTGCAAACTTGAAATACCTGACGTTTTAGGTAAGATTCTAACCCATGTCATTTTGTGCTTATCACAACCTGTGATATTACTATTTATGCTGGAAAGTTGCGGTAATTCAGCAATATGTAATTATTAAAACAGGTTTCGGACTAGTCGCCACTCATCAACAAAAGGCAGAGTCAATCTTAATAGATGTTTAAGACTGCATTTTGATCAGTCCAATAATTTGTTATTATTATACAGCAAGTCCAGAAAATGAAAACCTAGAATAAACAATCCTTCTCACTATTCCTTTCGATTTCTGTAAACAGTTACTGTAATATATATATTTGAAAAAAAAAAATTTACGTTTTGATTCAGAGATGCGTACTGAATGCATTTTCTTATAAAATGTTAATGAGTTAAGGATATATGATATTAGAATGACAGGTAATATTGTTCATTTATTGCAATGTAGAAAGGTATGTATGTAGTTAATTATTCAATAGTACTGTCAAATATATATATATATATATATATATATATATATATATATATATATATATATATATATATATATATATATATATATATATATATATATATATATATAATATGAGAAAAAAATCATTAGGAAGGATAAAAATAAGGTAAATTATTAATTCGAAGATGAATAAAACAACGATGCTAAAGTGAGATGAAATAATAATAATAATATAATCGATTAGATAATAACAATGATAGAACGAGAATAAATTTTATGATTTAAAAGTATCCCTGTTATAAATAAGTATAAATCTTTGCTCCAGAAAAAGATATATTGGGCTAAATAGCCATGTAGGGTTAGAAATTCAATGATCACAATATTTAGATGATAAAGTATATGTGTGTATTATTAAGTTTATACATGATGTACATAAATAAAATATGGTATGGGAATTATCTTTCTATATATATATATATGGACAGCAATTAAATCTCAGTTTAAAATCAATATTTTCAATTGATCGCACTATAATATATGAAATCAATATGATTTAATTCATATGATTTTGATAAAAATTCAACATTTTCATTGGTCAATGTGCGAAGTGG